AAATACAGAAGCCCAAAGTCTGTAGAAAACCAGATTTCCTAAGTCCGAAATCATCCCGTAGCCTATCCGAAACTCCCCCGAGCCCTCGGGGCTCCAAACCAAACATGCACACAAGTTCTAAAATATCATACGAACTTTCTCACGCGATCAAATCGCCAAAATAACACCTAGAACTATGAATCGAACATCAAATCAAAGGAAATTTTCAAGAGAACTTTAAAACTTATATCTTCACAACCGGACGTCCGAATCACGTCAAATCAACTCCGTTTCTCACTAAATTCGGCAGACAAGTCATAAATATTATAGTGGACCTATATCGGGCTCCGAAACTAAAATACGGACCCGATGTCAATAAATCCAACATCAATAATTTCTTAAATATAATGAAGCTTTCAAGCTTTTAATTTTTCATCAAAATTCCATATCTCGAGCTAGGGACCTCGTAATTCGATTCCGGACATACGCCCAAGTCCCAAATCATGATACAGACCTACCAGAATTGTCAAAACACTGATCCGGGTCTGTTTGCTCAAAATGTTAACTAAAGTCAACTTAATTGAGTTTTTAAAGCTCTATTTCACATTTTAATCTATTTTCACATAAAAACTTTTCGAAACATTGTACGGACTGTGCACGCAAGTCGAGGAATGATAAATGGTGCTTTTTGAGGTCTTAGAACACAGAATTACTTATTATATTTAAAGATGACATTTTGGGTCATCACAATGCTGATATGGCTTACCTAACAAAGAGATTTCAGAAAATGGTTCGCAAAAATGGAGGGATTCCAAAAAGGGGTAGCTCTAGCAAGCCAAGAGGTTATGACCTATGTCATAAGTGCGGGAAGCCAGGACATTTCATCGAGGATTTCCCTCTCCTCAAACAAGATCAGTACAAACACAACACAGACAAAGCAGCCAAGAGGAACCCGGTTCCTAACAAACGATTCAAGAGAAAAGATGTCACTAACAATGTTGTGAAACACACTCTTGCTGCATGGGGAGACTTCTCCAGCGAATATGGAGAGGATGATGAACAAGGTCACAACTCCATGATGGCAGTAAAAAGTGAAGCAGCTGAATATGACTCTATCTTTGCTCTGATGGCAAAATCTGACGATGATGAAGATGATGAGGTAAACTTTCTGGACGTTCAAAGAAATTTGTTTGTTTCTAAATACCCACCTGGTTCCTATGAAAATTCTGTCAGCAAGTCAAGGAACTAGGTGCCACACATTGTTCCTCTCAAATTGATGAAGTTCATCTTGCATAGCAGTAATCCAGTCAGTATCTTTCAATGATTCGTTGATATTTTTGGGCTCAACTTGAGAGAGAAACGTTGAGAAGGCAACAAACACTGGAAAAATTTCATCCTTGGTTTTGAGGAACAAGGTCCAGGTAAATCTAGAATAGTCATCCACTATAACAAAAATATACTTCTTTCCTCCTCTGCTTGGCGCCCTCATAGGTCCACACTGATCCATATGGAGGAGACCAAGTGGATTTGAGGTGCTAACATCCTTTTTGGGCTTGAAAGAAGACATAACTTGCTTTCCTTTTACACATGCATCACACACCTTGTGGTCTTTGAAACTTGACATCGGCAGGCCACGAACTAGGTCCTTCATGACCAGTTTGTTTAGCAACGTGAAGCTTGCATGACCCAATCTTCTATGCCATAGTTCAGCGTCATCATCAACAACACTTAGATATGTGAGATTCCCATTTTGCAGGGACTCAAAATCGTCAACATAAATGTTCTTGTATCTTTTTGCCATCAGGACCACTTCTCCAGTCAAAAGATTTGTGATTGTGCAAACTTTTGACACAAACTCGACCTTGTTTCCTTTGTCGCAGATTTGGAAAACACTCAATAGGCTATATTTCAAGCCATTCACATAGTACACATTTTCAATTGAGTGAGTGAATGACTTCCTAATTCTTGCTACTCCTAGAATATATCCCCTTTTCCATTGCCTAAGGATACACTCCCTTCTTGCAGGGCTTTGAGTGAAAGGAAATCATTGATGTTTCCAGTCATGTGCTTAGAACAGTCACTATCCATGTACCATTTTTGGCTGCTTCCTTTCACTTCTCCTTGCACAAGAGAATCAAGGGTTAAACTTAGGAATCCAAACAAGTTTGGGTCCCTTGTAATGAGGAAAATGGCAAATTAGACTTCTTCTTATCCGGGAAGGCAATATATATTTTTAATGGAAGGACCAGGTTCTTTCGCAGTGGTTACCTTTTCAACAAAAACTTTATTTTTCTGTTGGGACTGAAATCTAGCTTTACATGTTTCTTTAAAATGCCCAGTGTTATCACAGTGAGTCCAAAGTAGTTATCAGGGACAGTAACGTACTTGCTATAAGGGTTGTAAGGAGTCTTTTCCCTTTGGAACCTGATTCCATGTTTGTTTCCCCTATTGTTCTTATACATGGCAGTGATAGCATCAGAGGACCAGGTCCACTTGAGTGATTTTTCTAGATCATTCTTAACTCTGCCTAGATCTTTCTGAAGTTGTCTGTTTCTCTCAAGTTCGGCACACATACTAGATTTCACTAATTTTAGCTCATTTTCAATCCTAAGGTGTGCCTCACTTGCAACTTCCTTTCCCTTTTGGGTGATCTCATGCCTACCTTCCCTTTTTAGTTCCTCAATTGTTTCCTTTAGGTTCACCACTACTACTAATAAGTCATCTCTCTCATGCTTTAAGCTAGCAACCTTTTCAGTTAGAGCTTCTTTATCTTTTTTTAAACACTCAATGGTCCTTTTTTAAATCGACCACAACAACCACTAGATCATCTCTCTCGTGTTCTACTTCTCCTAATTCCATAGTTAATATAGTTTTATTATTTATAAGACTATGACAAGCATCAATTAAAACATTTGCCAAAGATATAAGCTTTTTCTGAGAGTAACCTTTACCCTAGTTTCTCGAATGGAGGCCATCAGAATTCTTATTGCCTTTGCATCTCATATGGAATTCAAATTGTTCTAAATAGATGCCAAAAGTACATTTCTGAATGGCTTTCTAAAAGAAGAAGTCTTTGTCAAGCAACCACCTGGATTCGAATGTCATGAGCATCCTGAGCATGTTTTTAAACTCGACAAGGCCTTATACGGGCTGAAGCAAGCTCCTCGTACATGATATGAAAGGTTGTCCAAATTTCTTCTAGAAAATGGCTTTACAAGAGGAAAAATTGACAACACCTTATTTCTGAAGAAACGGGGAGAACCTGCTCATTGTGCAAGTTTATGTTGACGACATCACCTTTGGTCAAACAAATGATTCTCTGTGTGAAGAGTTTGCAACGCTAATGGGAAGCGAGTTTGAAATGAGCATGATAGGAGAATTGAATTTTTTTCTTGGGTTTGCAAGTCGAGCAAACTCCTAAGGGCACAATGATAAGTCAGTAGAAGTACATCAAAGAGCTTCTGAAGAGGTTTGAAATGGAAAGCTCAAAAATCATTGATACTCATATTGCTACTGCCACTCATCTGGATATGGATGAACCTGGTTCCCCTGTGAACAAGACCATGTACAAAGGTATCATTGGATCACTCTTGTATCTCACAGCAAGCAGACTAAATATGGTTTTTAGTGTAGGATTGTGTTCCAGATTTCAATCTAATCCAAAGGAATCTCATCTGAAGGCTGCCAAAAGAATCCTAAGGTATCTCAAAGGAACGCAGGACCTGGTTCTCTACTATCCCTCAGGAGACAACTTTGATTTAATCGGGTAAGCTGATGCTGATTATGCTGGGTATTTGGTGGATAGTAAAAGCACTTCTGGCGTGGCATATTTTCTGGGATCATGTTTGATCTCATGGGGTACAAAAAAACAAAACTCAGTGGCTCTTTCAACTGCTGAAGCTGAATATGTGGTAGCTGGCTCTTGTTGTGCTCAATTGCTATGGATCAAGCATCAGCTGGAAGACTTTGGTGTGTTATCTGACTGTGTGTCGTTACTATGTGACAACACCAGTGCTCTCAACATAGCCAAGAATCCGGTTCAACATAAGAGAACAAAGTGCATTGATGTGCGACACCACTTCCTCAGAGACAACGTTGAAAAATGGCTCATTTGCATGAAATTTTGCAGCACAGAAGATAAAATTGTAGACATCTTCACCAAATCACTGAGCAAAGGTAAGACTAATCCCTGATGATTGTCTATGAAAGAAATGTACAGGTAAAACTGCTAAAAAGTATTTTCTGGAAAGGTCTAACTCATTTCTATATCATTACAGGTAGACATACATGGAAATTATAGAGCAAACAAGGAGCTAATGTATGGCAGTTTTGCAAAAGGATGAGGCTCACATTTACAACATCTATTAGGGAACCTGGTTCCCGTGACACGGGTTAGTGATTGTTTGTACTCTCATGCATAATTTTTTAACGACTAAAAAGGTGCCACATCATTAAAGTCAGCTTGCTCTTTTTCCTTTGGAAACCCAAGAGACATATCCGTTCTGAAACGACCCGTCTACCCAGAAAATTTAATACCCTTTCCCAACCGGTCCCTCACCTCCTTTAAAAATCCTAAGCTCTGTCACTCTCACAACTATTCACATCAAAAGACAAAAATTCTCTTTTCTCTCAAATAACCGAACACTCTCTTCTTTCATAAACTCTCACTACACTCCATAATGTCTGAGGATCTTGAAGTCACAAATGTCCCCATCATCGTCCCCACCGTGTCTTCATCTCTTGAAGCACCGGTGACAGAGTCTACGCACCCTACATCACCCAGTCCAAACCCTAAGCAAGATTCCCAACCACCCATTCCCTCTTCTCCAACCCAATCAAGTTTTGGTTCTCATCGGAGTCGTAAAACTTCGTATCCCAAGAGTTTTGTGGCTACGACCTCTCCTTCTGCCTCGCCGAAAAAAATGGCTGAACAAGGAACAGTAGAGGAAGAAGAAAATCAGGAAGTTTCAAGTCTGCGTTTGGAAGAAATTTCGGAGGCACAGCAATGTGTGGTTGGTATTGGTGATGAATCAGAAATGCCTACCCCAAGTCTCGATTTGAATACTGCAGATCCTACAGGTAATATTCCTTTTGTGCCTTCTGAGTTTACTTTGGGGTTAAAAGAACAAGAGGCCATAGAGAATATGTTGTCAATAGTTGTTGAGGGATGTTTGGTTGGGGATTATGAAGGCATGTCTGAACACAATGGGTCACAGGGGAAGGTAACAGTCTACTGGAAGAGGGTAGGGAACTGGTGTCTGTCAAAAATTTGGCACTTAAAAGTACTACTGGGGAACCACTCGAGGGACCTGATCCCTCCGCCCAAGAGGAGCCCTCTGCTCCTACTTGGGATGAAACCCCATGTTCTTAAAAAAAAAAATCAGGTTAGTACTGATCCCGCTCCCTCTCCTCATTTCTATGCTGAGCCATTGGCCATTGTTTCTCCCGAGATGAGATCTGTGTGTGAGGAAGAGGATGAAGGTAGTGAAGAAGACTATGTTAATGTGGCTATTGCAATCTTTATTTGTGCTAGGAGTAGCAGGGCAACTCTCAAAATACCTACTCCTAAAAAACCTACTACTAGGCTGCAAAGGAAGGAAGCTCTTGAGTCTACTCTGAAGAATAGTAAGAAAGAAAAGAAGAGAAGAAGGTTGATGAAGGGCGGAAAGCTAGTTCATGAAAAGGTAGTGCCTACAACACTTGTTATTGATAGCGATGACGAAATGGAGGAGGAATCCAGTCCTTTAATTCATAAGTCTTCTAAGAAATCTAGTGTTCCAAAGTCTGGGAAAGAGTCATCCGAGAGAGCGATAGAGGTTAGCAGGTGGGTGAGTCTGGAGAAAAAGTGGTTGAGGGGTCTGGTAAGAACGTATATGAGAAAGTGTCTGAGAAACCTGCAGAGAAAGCTAAAAGTGTAATAAAATCGGTGAAACGAAAGACTGGTGCCAACGATTAACCTGGTTCCTTAAAGAAGGCCAAGGTGGGGGTGGCCAAGAATGAAAGAAAGGAAAATCTGAAAAATCAGAAATACTGTGGGGCAGAACATTTGCCCCTGAAATATCCTGTTAAAACACTCTGAAATATCCCACCGCTCTTTTCCCATGCTCAGTAGGATAACTACGGGAAGTTGCAACAAATGTTTAGATGCAGTGACACTCTTCTTAGGCGGCGAATTTGGTTCTCTTTCGCTACTGCTAGGTACTCTTCTTTCTCTCTGACTTTGTTCCTCTTGATTTCTACCCTTACACTCCAAAATTCATCCTTATGCTAAAAGCCCTAATTTCTTTTATTCCCTTATTATGATTTTGGGTAAAAATGTGCATTTTAGTTGTGTTGCTATACGTTTACTTCTTCTCTTTGTTTGAATGGCTTTAGTATCCAATTGGTAAATTAGAAGAACTGTGTGATTATGTAATTATTTGGAAGTCTCCTCGCCCGTTAATCGATTTTGCAATCGCTATGTTTTTTTTTTAAATCAGCTGAAATTCAATTGGGTTTTGCTTTAAAATTTGATGGGTTAACGCTATTACTGATGTTGATCTTTTTTTGTTTGACACAACATTTTGGATTGGTTTGAAATTAAGGCTTGATGTAAAAGTTGTTCAAATACTTCATTTTCTTCATAAACAATTGACCAATTATTGGACTTCCTACTGATGTGCTTAATAGAATCAAAAGGTAATGTGGTTCCCATTTCTATTCTTGTGATTTTTTCCTTTACAATAACAAATCTGAATAATCCCAAAATAATCTTTGTATTTAATGTTTATTGAAGAAGCAGTCAACTAGAAAGAACGATTTTTCGTCAATTGAGTCAATTAAAAAAAAACAGAATTGAAAAGACAATTTCTTCATAGGAAAGATCAAAGTGGTTGTTAAAATTGGATTCTGAAATTGGTTTTCGCTTCTTCATTCCGACTTGAGTTTCCTTAACCCATTTTGGGGTAATAGGTGCTGGGAATTTTGGCTATTTTATGAAGGCCATTTTGGTAGTTGTGAATTATTTCTTTTGCCGGTTCATAAATTTGGTAAATTTCATTGCTTCTGATTTTTATGCTACAGAGATAGTTTTTAGAAGCTCGGACGTGCTCATATTACTGAAGTTCTGTCTGCTGACGTAACAAAGTCTTAGCTACTCTGCTCGTAATTTCATAATATCAGCCTGACATTGTTTTATGTTTAATAAAATCTTATCTTATCAATAAAAAAAAGTTTCAACTACTCTGCTTACAATAGGGTTTTAGTATGGGGCGTACGTGTCAAAATTGAATCTTGGGCGGTGAATTTTATGTATGGGGTGAAGTTTATGTACTGAGAAAAGTTTGAAAAACCGAGTGCAGTATTGAGATTGGAGTTGTAATACTAATATAAAAGGTAGAAAGTATTACTATGTTGATTTACCAGTAAAAGGAAAACTACAAATAGAAAACAGTCAATGCAATGAAGAATTAGTTTGCAACAGTGTTGTCAAAGGCGCGCTTAAGCCCTGAAGCAAGGCTCAAAAAAGGTTTAGCGCTTCGCCTCGCTTTGTGGACGCTTTAGTGTCGCATCAAAGCTCTAAGGCATACTTTTCCTTGCATTAGTGTAATCCTGAAAAGGCGATCTTAAACAATTGATATTTCACTTTATCGTAAATATTTTTTCAATTTCTTTTTCCATATATTTATCATTCATGCTTATAATGATTAGTCTTGGACTACATGCATATTTTTAATTTTTCTCCCGCTGCGCCTTTTTTCATTTAAGCGCACATTTACCTGCGCTTTGCGCTTAAAGCCCCAACGGATCTTAGCGTTTTTTTGCGTTTTTCGCCTTTGATAGCATTGGTTTGCAGCTAAGAATAGACTGCATTGTCTAAGATGAAAGTCCTAAAAAGACTTTGACTAAAGTGAGGTCATGTTTTAGGAGAAAAACACAATTGAATTGTTCTGAGAATATTGATTATTAGACCATCTAAGAGAAGGGAATATGTAGGAAAACAGATTAGTAATATTGAGTCAGAAAACAAACTAAAAGTTTATAGTAACAAATTGAGCGACATAACACAATCATAAATCTCTATGATAACCTTTGTATTGTCGATTTGGGATATCGTATTTTTATAACAATTTCATAGTTTTGATGAATTTGTCTTTCGTAGAATGAAACAGGCTAAAATGCAAGAAAACAATAGCTATATTAAATAATTGTAATAACATTTATTCTATAAACTATATGTATAATAATATAAGGAAATTAAATATTGAATTTTAGTTGGTTTGAGTGGTGGTTTTGTTTTTGGTTACTGTGAAACCAGTGGATTTATTCTTTCTCTTTGGTCAATTTGTTTCTTTGGATAATGCAGATGGGTGAAGAATACTTAATCATGAATATTTAATATACCAGAGAAAGAACAAAACATGTTCTTTTATTCTTTAATCTGCCATAGGTAGTTCCTTCTTAGCCATGTGTTTTTTCCTTCCGCCGACTGTCGAGATGATTGTACATTTGCTGTTTGATATGGCTACTGTTGTGTGGTTAAAATTTTTGGTTTCTTAATTTTTTAGTGTGCTTTTGATATGAAAATAGTTGCACTTTACTTTGCGCAAAGTGAAAGATAAGTTGTGTTTACTGGTTCATTCGGTTATGCCGTCGCTAAATACTTCAAATGTGACCATTCAATTGTATTCACTTGAAGAAAAGCTTTATCTTACCACGAGCTGTATATAGCATAAAATATGTTTGAGAACCTAATAAGCTGCTAAAATTGATCATTTAACTATGTATATATTACGTGGATCGACACTATTTGTGCAGTTCTTAATTTGCTTTTTTCTTTGGTAAATTTCTACCGGATCAGATGATCTGAGTTTCTGAAATTAAATCAATATTGACTTTCAACCAGTGTTTTTTAATGAATTTCTTGCTACAAGTCTATGGTTGCACTATTGTTTGTTTACTGGCTATGAATTTTATAACGTTTAAAAATTATAGGACTCTTATACCAATTGATATTAGGAAGCAACAAATTTTAATATTGATGGACTCTGAACAAACAAACAAGCGTCACTACTCTGAAAAGAAATGTGCTGATAGGAATGTTAGACGACGCGAACAGTATAAACTTAAGATGGCGAATGAAAAGAGTGCACTATCGTTATAGGACATTTACAGTGTACTCCTAATACAAAGGACTCCTGCTATACTTCCAAAACAGGTTAGTATACTAATTCTATATCGCAATCTATACAGTATGCAACTGTTTCATTGTCTAGCACAAATATTATTTTTTTGTGTGCATGAATATCTAGCATAAATTTAATATCTGTTGCGCTTACGCCTACTATGCAGAGAGTAAGGTTATGATGCTTCCATCATTTACTGCTTTTGACAAGGAAAATCCTCTTTGCACTTATGAGAAAAGTAAATTGCCTAAAGTTACCATAATTTTACATTAATATACAAGACATATTAATGTTGACTAAAAAACTACTTATCTGGTAGGTTCAACGTCGTTTGTACCTAATGAACAAAATGATACAGCTGAGATAGTGATAACTAAAGGTTTGTATTTGTGTCATCTTTAAGTAATATCATTTTGTGCTCGACTATTTCACTCCTTACAACCTCTAGAACATGCAGGTCGCAGTTGAAATAACAGAACTACTATGAATATTGAATTACGCTCAGACTATGTGCCGTTAAAAAAGGTTCCAAATTGTAAGTTTTGCTTTGCGAAAAGATTTGAATATGAATCTCCTGGATTTTGTTGTGGCACTGGTACAGTTAAGATAATTTCACATTGAATGCCCACTAAGCTACATGATCTATATTTCGAGAATAGTGGAAATTCCCAACACTTTCGGACATACATCAGAACATATAATAACCCATTTGCATTTACATCACTTAGTGTAAACTATGATACAGACTTAGCACGAAGGAATCATGGTATCTATACTTTTACAGTTCAAGGATGAATGTATGACCTAATAGATGATTTGTATCCCAGAGGGAAAAAACCGAAATCTACAGTTGTACTTTTATGATAACAACAATGAGTTAGCAAATAGAATGGCATGCTCTAACAAAGTTAATGAATCTATAGTGAGGGAACTGATGGATATGTTGAGAGTTAACCCATACTCCTTTTTTATTTGATCTTTGATAGATATTCCTGAGCTACTGAACTTCCATATTGGACTGAAATGTGATCCTGGTTTAGATCAGCGAATATATAATTTGCCAACTTCATCAGAAATTGCTGCAATATGGGTTGAGGACAATGACAGTAGTATAAATCATGCACCACATATTCAAATTTATACTCAGAGCAATAGCACACAAATAGTGAACTATTATTACGGATGTTATGACGCCTTGCAGTACCCTTTGTTGTTTCCATATGGATAGAATGGCTGGCATTGTGGTATTAAGAAAATTCCTAATCCCAAAAATATTCATGGAAGTTATACTCATGAATGTCAACAGTTGTCGAGCATACAAAATCTTTGCTCTCTTGATTCATATCTTCAAATTGAAGCTCGAGCTTTAGAAAAAGGAAAGAAAAAAATAGATGCAGTTTCTGCTCGTGAATATTACTGTTATAAACTTCAAATGAGAAATGATGACAAAGATGAGTTGCTACACAATGGTAGGCTATTTCAGCAATATTCAGTTGACGAATATATAAAAATTGAAACCCAAAGATTGGATTTTGCTTCGTTCAATCAAGATTTATTTAGAATGGATATACTGCAAGGACTTCTTGATATTTTAAGACTTGGAGAACGAGATTCTTCTAACATTAATAAGCAAAAATTCCTTTCAGCTTCTTTTATAGGTGGACTTAGAGATATGCGACAACGATATATGGATGTTATTGCATTAGTACAACTTTTCGGTAAACCAGATTTGTTTATAACTATGACTTGTAATCCAACTTGGCCGGAAATAACATTTGTGGACAACTGATCAGGCGCAAAATAGACCTGATTTAATTAGTCGAGTATTGAGAGCTAAAGTTGAAGAACTGAAAACAGATATAAGCAAGAGAAATATCTTTGGAAAAGTTGCTGCTTATATGTATACTGTTGAATTCCAAAAATGAGGTTTACCACATGCTCATTTCCTTATAATATTAGCTAACGAATATAAGTTATTGACATCAGAGGCTTATGATGGAATTATTAGTGTTGAATTACCAGATGCTAATTTGGATAAAAAATTACGTTCGATTGTTCTCAAACATATGATGCACGATCCATGTGGTAATCTGAATCCAACAAATTCATGTATGAAAAAAATGGTCTTTGTAAGTTTAATTATCCAAAAAAAATTGCATAACAGACATCAAAAGGAAGTGATTCTTACCGCATCTATAAAAGACGAAACACATGAGAAGTTGTGATAGTACGCATAACTCTTGGGTTGTTCTATACAATTCCTTTTTATTTGATAAATTCAACTGTCATATGAACGTTGTGGTTTGCTATGACATAAAGGTTGTTAAATATCTTTACAAATATATTTGTGAAGGACATGACAAAATTGCATCTTACGTACATGATAATGATACAAACAAAGAAATAGATGAAATAAATGAGTATCAATCTGCTAGATGGGTATCACCACCTGAAGCTGCATGGCGTTTATTTAGTTTTTCTATTAGTGAGATGTATCCAAGCGTTTATCATCTTCAGTTGTATATTAAAGGGCAACGACTTGTTTCTTTTAAAGGCAATACAGATATTAACAAAATTATTAATAATCCAATGATTAAGAAAACAACGTTTACATAATTTTTTTCAGATGAACAGAACTAACAAAGATGCCATAAAGCTTAACTTATTATACAAAGAATTTCCTGAACACTTTGTATGGTCAACGACAGACAAAACATGGACATTGCGACAACAACGTTGCGTCGTTGGTCGTATCGTAACATGTCACTCGACTGAAGGAGAACGATATTATCTCAGACTACTGTTGCTAAATGTGAGAAGACCGAAATCACATGCAGATCTTCGAACTATAAATGGGGAACGTTATAATACTTTTAGAGAATCCGCAGAAAAAAAAGGGCAGTTACATTGTGATAACAGTTTAATTGATTGCATGCCAGAGGCAGCAAGTTACCAAATACCATATAGTTAAAGGCGTTTATTTGCTACATTATTAGTGTATTGTAATCCAATCAATCCAAAAGAAATGTGGAAACAATTTGAAGAGTCAATGTCAGAAGATTACAGAGTGTTACCTAATGTTGAAAGAAAATATATCCAATATCAAGTTTTAAATCAGATCAATGATATTTTACACTCTATGGGTCATAATGTAAATGAATATGAGCTTATCCCAAAAACAGTTCGACCATCTATATTGGAAAAAGAAGCGAAGGAGGTATTCTTTGAAAGAACCATTAGGGTTAGTGAAGAGGATAAACTGTTACACAAAAAACTGAACACAAAATAATTGAAAGCATACAATGTGATTATTGACCGAGTATTTTTCAAGAAACCACGAGCTTTTTTTGTTGATGGTCCAGGAATAACTGAAAAAACTTTCTTATATCGTGCTTTATTAGCGACTGTACGTAGTAAAGGGTACATAGCTCTAGCAACTGCTACTTCTGGCGTTGCTGCTTCAATTCTTCCAGGCGGGCGAACTGCACATTCGCGTTTCAAAATAACTATAGACATTGATAAAAATTTCAGCTATAACATTAGCAAACAAAGCTCAACTGCAAGTCTGATTCATGATGCAAAATTAATTGTATGTGATGAAGTATCTATGGCTAAAAAAAGAATGCTTGATGTTTTTGACTTGCTCTTAAAAGATCTTATGGATACAAATATTCTATTTGGGGGAAAAGTTGTTGTTTTTGGAGGTGACTTTAGACAAACTCTTCCAGTTGTTCGAAACGGGAATAAAGAATATTTTATTAGTGAAAGTTTACTATATTCTACATTTGGGACGAACTTGAAAAATTGCAACTATCTGAAAATATGAGGGCAAAAACATGTCCTGCATTTTGTGATTACTTGATGAGAATTGGAAATGGACAAGAGAGGGTAAACTTTAATAACAAAATTGAACTTCCAGATTCTATGATTATTCCTTTTACAACTGAAGAAGAATTTCTAAACCATTTATTCGCTATGACATTCTCAAATGTACACACATCCTCCTCTAATTCTTTTCTTGCAGATTCTCGCGTTGTTCTAACGACGAAAAATGATTTTGTAAATGAAATCAACGATATTCTTATAGCAAAATTTCCAGAAAAAGCTACTACATTTGTTGGTGTTGACGAAACCGTTGAGCCTAATGATCAAAGTCAATTTGAAGACTTATTACACACTTTGAATCCTGTTGGTTTACCTCCTTGCAAATTAACTTTGAAAGAGAACTGCCCCATTATATTGGTGCGCAATTTGAATCCGTATGAAGGTTTATGCAATGGTACACGATTGATATGCTGCGATATTAAAAGACATGTTATCAGTGCTAAGATCGCGACAGACAATTTTAAAAATAAGCACGTATTTATCCCAAGAATACCATTATTATCGTCACAAAACGAAAGATTACCAGTTCAATTTAAAAGAACACAATTCCCAATAAGATTATGCTACGCTATGACTATAAATAGGGCGCAAGGTCATGCTCTGGATTTCGTCGGAATATATTTGCGAGAACCTGTTTTTTAACACGGTCAACTTTATGTTGCATTATCAAGAGCAAAAAGTTCAAATTGCGTCAAAGTGCTGATCCGGCCGTCCACACGAGCCAACCGTAATGACCATTCTACATATAATATTGTTTATGATGAAATCATCCAAAGAGCGTCCTTGTAAGTCTTATGCTAACCCAAAATACAATAATTTTTCTGTTTTATTTTGTCCTTTTACTCCCCTACATTTTGTTTTATTTTTTATACGCTTACCAGTATTCACATCTATTTTTTGTTTCTTTTTGGTCAAATAGGCGATGAGGTTAAGACTGGACTTCTACTTACCTCGAGCTCCGAAACAAGGTCAGTAATGAAAGTTCACCATCATAGATTTATATTACTGCTTATAAGATCTTATTTGATCAGATATGATCGATCCACTTATTTTACCACCTGCTAATGCCTCACTATTTCAACGTTTCCCTAAAGTTACTTGGAATCCTGTGTTAGACTAGGTCATTTACCTATGCAGATCATGCTTGCCTTTTGAAAATCAAAAGAAATTACTGTCATGTCTGAAATAACCCCAACATATTTACTAATCAGCTACTGAGTTATTTATGTTGAAATTGTCAAAAGTCCCACATCGGTGGATGACAATTTTGAATGGGAATTTCACCCT